CCTCAGCTCCTGGGGCAAGAACTGTACTGTTCTTGTCTCTCCAGGCCCCATTGCCTGCAAGTGTGTGCAGGGAATAGGCTCTCAGTCAGAAGCGTCTGGCAGAGACATACAGGGAAGAGTGTGAGTGAGGGCTCGGCAAGGGGGCATGGTGAGTCCCAGCTGAGTGTGGGAGAAGAGACAGTCCTGCACCACCCCAGCATGCCCAGGGCTGTAGAGGTGCCTGAGAACACCCCAGGGCACTGTGTAACCAAGAACAACTGAACCCCTGCCTGTCCTTAGCTCTCCCATCGGCTCCCATCCCACCCCACTGATATACACGCCCAAAGGAAAGTCCCCTTACCACTCCCAGCCCCACCGAGACTAAAGCAAAAGAAAAAATTAAATGTAACAACTCAACAATGTTTTAGGATTCTTAACACTCTCTCAGCGTCTCACCCTGGGTGGAGAAGGAAGCCCCACCACAAACCCAGTGCCACCTGGAGCTTCCTGATACCCTGTCCCATGCTGTGTCATTGCCACACCCACATACACATCACATATGAAAATCTCATGATGGTTCCAATCTTTACCAATCAAGGAGCTCCAGAAAGTCCGTTTATCCAAGGCCATTCATCTGATAGTAGCTAGTCTGAAATTCTAGAAAAGAAAACCCTCTCCCCTACCTGCCGGAGTTGAACAAGCCACTGGTCCCCCATCTGAGGGCATCTCAGTCACCCACCTCCTCTGTGGCCACCCGGGTCCCACACCTGAGGCCAGGAGGCTCTGACCAAAGGGGCAGCCCAAAGCCCCCCAGATGGGAGCTGAGGCAGTGGTAAGGACAAGCAGGGGCTCAGCAGAGAATCTGTTCATCTGCAGGAAGGCAGGGACAGGGTGGCTCTGCTCTCCTCAGAAGTCAGTGTCTTAGGCACGCACTGCAGGCCTCCATACAGACCCTTTTGTTGAAGGAGGTGGATTCTCCTAGCTGCCGTTCCGGGGGACTCCCACTCCTCCTTCTCCATTGACAGGAGGGCCTGTTGACTGTCTGGGAATCAGCTTTCCTCCATGATCACGCAGCCGGCCGTCTCCTGTTTTCTATCCTATGGAAGCCCTTTTCTGTGGAGCCCTGTCAAAGGCTTTTCAAAGTCTAGAGCAGAACCACCAGGCCCCCTCCAGCTACAATGTAGTGTTTGTCACTTCCAAACATGCCTTCTCCTTGCAGACAAGGTGACCTCTTTGCAGGTGACTTTAGTACATGTTCAGGGATTCCATCCTTTGCTTAGTAAGGGGGTAAGAGTAATTTAACAAAACAGTGGTGCTAATGATAAAATAATAATAGCACCAAGTGCCCAGCTCTGTGCTAATCTCTTTTAAGGGAGTCAATCTCACTTAATTTAACAAATGAGCCCTTATTAGCAGATAGGGAAACTGAAGCTGAATTCCTAAGGAACCTGCCAGGGTGACACAGCTAGGAAGTGGCTGTCAGGGATTAGAACCCCAGGCAGGCTGCCCCCAAGCCACACACTTCCCCGCCACTCTAGGCTGTGTCCTGTCTGTGTCCTGCAGACCTGGGAAGAAGACACCTGTGCAACCAGCATGATTGTCTGAAACGAAGTCCCTGCCCTCATGGAGCACATGAGCCAGAATCAGTTCCAGGTGCACCTTTTTCATTTCCCCTCATTCAGAAAATTGCACACAGAATAACAAACAGTAAGACAGCTCTATCTGTGGTCATCAGAAAGCTTTCAGATACGCAAAAATGGAACAAATGCTAAGCACAAAAGTTTCTCTGTGTTCTGTACACTACATATTCTCCCTCTACTGGCTGCATCCTGGAATCTGGGAAGTGCCAGATCACTCTACATTCCAGATTATTTCTCCATCCATGTAACTGGTTAAACACAGACCCGCTGAGCTTATTATTTTAATCCAGGATTATGATGGCTGCAGAAGAAGGCCACTCTGTCCCCTTGACCTCCTTGGCTAGGAGAGCAGTGGTGGTTCTCCTGCCCTGCCTGGGTGGGAGGACAGCAAGCCACAGCTAAGCCTGTCCCTCCACTAGGAAACTGGATAAAAAGGGAGTGCCCATAGTGGAGGGGACCACACGCTGCCCTTTGACCTTGTGAAGGAGTCGAGGACACAGGTGACTGGAGGGGCCGGGGAAGGGCCGGTATACACTAGTGGAACTCCAGCTTTCCCCAGCAATGAGCTCTTTGTAGGCTCTGCCACTCACTGACAGCCAAACATCTGTGGTGGGAACTCCCCCAAGCAGGGACCTCGAAATCTCATACCCCACCTTATGTCTTATCAGACAATGTGGCCAAAGATCCAGGGTCGCAGGGTAGCACTGTGAGTCATCTCCCCTCTCCAGCCCCCACTGCTTGTAGATGGGGAAACAGGCCCAGGGAGGCAAAGCACTCAGCCACTTTATTCATATGTTCCACCCTCTGAGCTAATGAGCTCCAGAAACGCAGGCTTTCAAGAGAGTGGCAAAAAGCTGTCGATTCTTAGGTAGGAATTGCCTTTGCCTGGCCATGCAATGACCACCCCAACCCTTCTAAGAATTTTTCAGAGCAACTGTGGGAACTGGGGTTGTGGCTTAGAGTCCGTGATGGGAAGGGGCTGGCTCTAGGGCTGTGTGCCCTCAGCAGAGGCCAGAGTCGGATTAGACTGGGAAGTCTTCCTCAGATGAGAGAGTCTGAACCTGTCTGCTTGGAGGGCTTGGGTGGGCCTCGGGTGGACTGGTGTGATGTGGGATGAGAGGTGGGCAGCAAGACTAGGCAGACTCAGCACCCACCCCCTGTGCCTGCTTGCTCCCTGCCTTGGAGAAAGACCACCTTCCCTCCACGTGGCTGGCCAGGCCCTCGTTTCCTCAGGGTGCACACTGACCTTGGCTGCAGTCTGTGAAGGTGACTGCCACTCCTCCCTGCTCAGTGTGGTACTGCATGGATGCCTCCAGGCGCCTAAAAAGCTGTGCTTTTCTAATCAGTGGAGAACCAGCTTTGTCTGCCAGGAACTGAAGCAAGACAGCTGATGAGAAAAAAAAAAAAAAAGTAACAGCTCCAAGAGGAGGGAGCAGAAAGGAAACAGCAAAGCTGGAAAATGGCTTAAAAACCTGGGGGCAAGGCTGATCCTGGCAGCATCTGGCCAGCTGCCTGGGGCCCTCCTGCCTGCCCACCAGGTCTTGAGACAAATGCCCTCCGACAGCCATGGAACCACAGCTGTCACCGGAAGGCTCCGAGTGTGCGGGCTGGCAGCCAGAGGCCCACGGCTGCAAGGGCGCCTCTCCGGGCTGGTAACCTCATTATCTCTGCTGTCGGAGCAGGAGCCCCAGGGAGCACAGCTGCTCTCAGCCGCCTTGGAGGAGCTGTCTGCTCAGTAAGCTGTGCAGAGGGAGGCCTCTCCTGCCAAAGAAGGCTTCATGGGGCAGCGGGCCTGGAAATTCGCTTTCACATCCCTCCAGTAAAACCCTCCTTGTTCCAAAGCCATGCCTGGGCCCTGCCAGGGTTCACAGGCACAGATGGTGCCTTTCTTCTAGCAGTCTCCTCCTGCTCCCCAGTGGCCCCAGAGCAGGGTTGGATGCAAATGGGGAGAAGAAAAAGAGACTGAAACAAGAAAAGAAATCACAGTCTGCCCAGAGTTTGTCCAAAGACGTCCCAGGAAGCCTTCCTTGGAGGCCTCAGAGCTGTGCCATTCCCACTCTCATCTCTGTCACCCAGGAAACTGCCTGGTTCCTTCCCCCGGTCAGGACCAGGCCCCCTTTTCCACGTGGAATAGAGGGTGGGGTGGGAGGCTGCAGTTCTGAGATTAAGACTGTGTTGAGTCTCTACCTGCCGGAGACTTGTGTACTCGCACTGTTGAGGACAGCCCAGCATATGTGACAGCAAGGACAGGGGCAGCCAGTGGGGATGATGGAGTTACCCCAAAGAGTGTGTCTGCCCCCAAACATCCTCTGCCTGCCCTGGGACCCAAGGTGGGAGAGGACAGGGGCTGCAGAACGATGCTGGAGGCAGTGGGGCTGGCTGTCGTGTGCTTTGCTCGGCTTGCAATTGACGTTCGACCTTGAACAATGTGCCAGCGTTCCTGTCTGCTCTGGACACCCTCATCTGTCACGTGGAGAGAACACCTGCCCTCGGCCAGCTTGGCTGGGGGGAGCAAGCTCCGTGGAGAACAACGGCTTGTCAGTGGGAGGTTGTGGGCTGCTGTTATAGCTGTAACCCAGCGCGGGCTGCATGTCACCAGCTGAGAGACAGCTTTGAAAAAGGACTGCTGTCATTTTCTGCAACTCTGGACTGGCCAGGGAGGCAGCACATCTGGTAGGGGGTGGGGGCTGGTGGAGGACCCTTATTATTATGAAAATGGAGCCATTTGCTGACTTGGTTTGGGTCCAGTTTAATTTCCCTCAGCCCTGAGCCCGTGAGCCCTGAGCTGGTGCCTGATGATTTTGGATTGGGACTAAGGCTAGAAAACACCAGGATTTATAAAAATGCCATTCCCCCAAAGGACCCAATCTGTGCTGGACAGAGCCCTGATTCTTTGTGTCTGCAGTGGGCGCTAGTGTGGTGCTGTGAGTGTGGGTGCAGAGAGACAGAAGGAGAGAGGTGATGCGTGCAGAGACCATCTGTCTGGGCACAGGCCCAGCCCAGCAACCCTAGGCCCTTTCCCCCTCCTCCTCCCAGATCGCTCCTGCTGTCTGCCTGGGGACAGCAGGCAGGGAACAATAGAATAATCTGGAGACTCTCCTTTCTAGATCCTCTTGAGGTCTCTGTCTCCAGTCTCTGAGCAGATGTCCAAGGCCTGGCCAGTAACCTAGCCCCCATCCAGAGCCACGCAGGGCCATTTCCCAGCCCCAGGCTGCAGGCCCCCAGTCTGGGTTCCCTGTGCATGGGAGCTAGAGAAGGAAGGCTGCACATGCAGGGCTTTTTCTGGCAGAGCCAGTGTTTGACACTGCTAAAGCCCTCCTAATCCGCGTTATTTTCTTCTAATCCCTCCCCTGCCACCCTGGCCTGTGTGCCACCCTACAGGTCCTTTGGTCCCAAGCCGGAGCCTGTGCTGAGCCCCAGGCATGAGGAAGCCAAGCATCTGCTGCAGAGTGCCCGCATGAAGGCCAGGACCCGGCCCCTCCGTGCCAGCCATGACATCGTGCCCACCATTGCCCAGGGCAGCCGGTGAGTGGGACCTGGGCCAGACCGGCCTGGGAGGGCCATAGCAGAAAAGGGTCAGCAGTGTGAAGAAATTGGATCTAGCCAAATGCTGCCGCTCACTCCTCGTGTGTGTGTGTGTGTGTGTGTGTGTTTTCCATATAAGGCTCTTGCTTTGATCATTTAGTCAGTCAACACACCTTTCCTGAGGGCCTACAGTCAGGCACTGATATATAAAGATGAATGAAACATGATCTGGATCCCTGAGGGGATAGAGGTCACAGTCTCCAGGGAGAAAGAGAGGCAAACAGATATCCAATTCTGTGGACTGTGTTGTAAGAGAGGAAAAGTGGCCGGGCGCGGTGGCTCAAGCCTGAAATCCCAGCACTTTGGGAGGCCGAGGCAGGTGGATCACGAGGTCAAGAGATCGAGACCATCCAGGTCAACATGGTGAAACCCCGTCTCTACTAAAAAGATACAAAAAATTAGCTGGGCATGGTGGTGCATGCCTGTAATCCCAGCTACTCAGGAGGCTGAGGCAGGAGAATTGCCTGAACCCAGGAGGCAGAGGTTGCGGTGAGCCGAGATCGTGCCATTGCACTCCAGCCTGGGTAACAAGAGCGAAACTCCGTCTCAAAAAAAAAAAAGGAAAAGTATGTGTGCTGAGCTGGAAACTGTTAACTCCACCTGGAAAAGACAGGTCAGGCTCCTGAGAGGAGGTGACTTCCAGCTGAAACTTGAAAGAAGTATAGATATGCACTGGGTAGATGAGAGAGGCAAGGGTGAGCATCCTGGGGATGGAAACTGAGCAGAAGCACTGTGCTCAGGAGTTCAGCCAGGCTAGAGGGTAAGGATGTGCTGGGCCACGTGGCGTGAAGGCTGGAGGGCTCACTAGGGCCAGGTCATGGAGGCATCCAGGCCTGCAGAACAGTTAGACAGCTGATGTCTGCTGCAATATCTGGAGGCTGCTGGAGGACCCTGGACAGGTGGGCAGCATGATCGCACTTCAGTGATGCCATTCTATCTGCAGAGATGTGCTGGGGCTGGGAGACAGGTGTGGTGAGGAGGATGCTGCTGTGGCCCTGCTGAGCGGTACAGAAGGGGAGGGTGTGGAGATTTCACAGAGACCCCAAGCACCAGAAGCAAACAGGCTTAGTGAGTGCCACACCTAGAGCCAGGCCACATGGGCTTGACTTCTGCTTCTGGAACTCAGCTGGGTGCCTCTGCGGAAGTCTCTGTGCCTCAGTTTCCTGACCCACAAAATGAGAATTGTAATAGTGCCCGTCTTACAGGGTTGCTGTGGGGCGATGTGAGCTAATACGCATAAAGTTTGGAACAGCACCGCCATGCAGTGAGTGCTGCAGGACTGTGAGCTCATTTGGTTGCAGGGGTGTGGGAAGTGTGAGAAGGGAGGCATCTGGAACACGCCCAGGGTTCCAACTCGGTGTCTGTGTTTGGTGGGGCCTCAGCCAAGGGGTGAGGGCTCAGTGCAGGGTCAGGCATTGGAGGGGGAGGTGCTCTCAGAACATCCACTGGCAATCGCCCCAGGCAGTTGGATACAGGATTTTTAGAGGAGGAGAGATCAGAACTGAAGATCTGGACATCATCCCCGATTTCACAATGGTATAGCCGTGGTGAGGGAGAGCTTGTCAGGAATGAAGACGTGAGAAAACAACGAGGTCAGGACGTTCAGACCAGCACATCATATACATGACTGCCCCCTGAGCAACACACTCCATCCCCACCACTCTGCCTGTTCTGCCTGTGGTGCACCTTGAAGAACCACTTACACATGGCCTTCACCACCACACGGAGCCGTCTTCCAGTCATGCGCCTGGGCCTGAGATGAGGCTGCTAAGCTACGCCAGGTCTCGCCAGGCCCAGGCAGGCCCCCTTCTGTAGCTAGCAAAGCCTGCGGCTTCACTGGCATAGTGGACATGCTGCATCTGCCTGTCTGAATCACCACGTGCCACTGGAGGGAGCAGGGCTTCTTAGGGAGCGGGGATCTTGGTGGAACTGGACCGAGATCCAGTTCCTCTGATGCTCGTTGATGGAGGGTGCCGAACTGCTCATTAAAGGCTAAGGAGCTTCATGGAGCCATTGAGATGACTCCTTCATGAACGGAGGTCGTTGTGACCCCTAGGAGAGGGGTTCAGAGGACCCTCAATCCTGGCAAGGGGTGCCAAGCAAACTTTGCCTTTCCACATCTTGTGCTTTGCCTCTCTCTCTAGATGGAGGGCACTTGTTAGGAATGGACGTGGCTTCTTCAGGGCATCCTAACTATTCCTCTTCACATTTATATAAGGTAAAAAACCTTAAGACTTCCAAGCAACTCTTCTGTCCTACTTTGTATAGGCATTTAGGTTAGGTCGGGTGGCCTCAAAATAGTCAAGACTATCTGCAAAACAGTCTGCATTGTGTAAAGGTCCTCTTGGACACTTCTTCCTCAGATCACTCCAGCAGCTTACAATAACCCCAATCACTAACTTTAAAGTAGGCTCCCTTTTGCAGGCTGTCTCCAGGCCACAGAAATGCTATAGAAATGCAAGGTGACCCACTTTAGCAGCTGCTATGTCCAGAAAAGAATTACTATGACTTGGCAGCGCTGCTGAATCCTCAGAGGGTCTAGCTGAAAAATCAATGCCAGATGGCTTGCTGCAGATGCTTCTAAAGGTTACGCTCCATCAAATCACCCTGGAGGGCCATACTGAGTTAACACGGCAATGGCACACAGGTCCCAGGCCTCAGTTAGATGCAGGAGGCCCCAGCCCCGGCCCAGATGCGTCACTTCTAAAGAGCGACTTGGTGAAAGGTGATGTAAGAGGAGGGGCAGGCAGAGCAGTCTCAGAGGGCCTTCTTTATCCTAGGTCTGGCTAGAGGCAGCTGGGGCAAGCCTGAACAGACAGGGATTCCAGGAGGTGAAGAGGTAGCAGCAGCTGCACTTTTCTGGAAACAAATTAATACAGAAATGAAGCAGCTCCTGGAAGTACAAGATCTTGCCGTTTTGGGGCTAGACATGCCTAGATGGGTGTCTCTGGAGGCAGGAGGGCAGGACACGTTGGCAAGAGGCAGGGCTGGTAGGTGTTACTGTCCCGGGTTAGAGAGAGTGGCTGTGCTGAGACTGCAGAGTGTGTGTACATCACATTGAGTGTATGGTTAGGTCAGCAATGCTATGGAAAGTGGGACTCTGGAAAGGGGTCCCCGTGAAGCCAGATGTCTCCAGAACTGTGGCAGGATCCTCCCCTAGAGGGGTGACTGCTGGGGCCTCTGCGGAGCCTCCCCTTGAGAACTTGGTGGGTGTGGGATTTGCTCACTGCTCAGCTGCCTCATTCGCCCCGCACTTGTCTTCAAAATCCTCATCCTGCCTTTACGCACTGTTGCTGACACTGCCGGTGGGGCTTCTGAGTTGGAATAATTGGGTTGAAAGAACCTTATGTAATTAAGCACTCCTTAATTTCTCTTTTTACAAAAACAGTGTCTGCCTCTGCAGTGAATTCCAGGATGGCTCAATTCACCATCTGACGTGTGAAAGTTAAGGCCACCAATGTGGCTCATAGGACCCTGGATCCCTTGTTAGATTAGGACTGCACTGCCTTTAAAGCTAGGCTTCTTTTCTCCCTAGAAATCACAGCCCACGTTCTGCAGATAGGGCACTAACTTTGGGGCCTGTGGAGGGGTTGTTGTGTGAAGCTGTGTGCAGACTCTCCCTGTGGGCCTTTGCCTGCATCAGCTGGGCTGGGCTGGGAAGACGTCCTATCTGTGCAGTGGGGTAAAGCATCTGCCCAGCAGGAAAGCTCCTGTTTCTGGGGGTTGAGTGACGCTGTTTATCTGGATGGAGCCTTCCTTTTGGGGGCTGTGGGAAGGGAGTGTGCTTCTGGAGAGCTGACCATGAGCTCCACATGAACAAGGACTCATGATATCTCCAAGCAGGCAGATCCACTTGCTTAGCAGGAGTTCTCTCTCTTTTTTTTTTTTTTTGAGACAGAGTCTTGCTCTGTTGCCCAGGCTGGAGTGCAGTGGTGAGATCTTGGCTCCCTGCAACCTCCACCTCCTGGGTTCAAGCTATTCTTATGCCTCAGCCTCCCAAGGAGCTGGGACTATAGGCGTGCATCACCACACTGGGCTAATTTTTTCTATTTTAGTAGAGACAGGATTTCATGGCATTGCCCAGGCTGGTCTTAAACTCCTGAGCTCAGACAGTCTGCCCACCTCGGCCTTCAAAGTGCTAGGATCACAGGCATGAGTCACCATGCCTTGCCAGCAGTTCTTTTTTTAAAAAATTTCACCCTGGAGCAGTGCTTATGGGGGGAAATGACTGGAGTCAGAGGTAGAAGCAGGTGTGGAGCCCCCATTGTCCATTGCCTTTTGCATTCCCATGAGCATTCAGCATCCAATAGGTAGAAGTCAAATGCAGGTAGGCTAAGAAGAAAGATCCAGGAAATGAGGCAGGAGGGTTGCATGAAGTCAGGGAAGGAGACCTGGAGGACTGAAGGCCTGGGAGTGTAAGAGGAAGTGGGAAGGAATGTGCGGAGCCTGCATTTTCCCTCCAAAGTGTATGCAGTTGGCCCTGTGCCCTCTTCTAGGTTAGTGTGATAAAGGCTGTGCTGCAGTTGGACCTACAGACAGGAGGCAGTGGAGAGGCTGGATCAGAGGCCACTGCAGGGGTCCTGTGTGAGTGAAAAAGTGGTACGTGAAAGAGACAAGAAACAGAATCTCAACACTTAGCAGTGGATTGGTGAGAGGCCACTGCTGGGAAAAGGAAGGGAGAAGTATGGTCCTTACTTGGATGCTCTCTGATAGAAAATGGCCCATGAGCCTGGTTCCATTTGCATCGTGGCCTGAAACTCAGGTTACCTGGCTCTGGGGGGCCCTGGTGTGAGATGTGTGCAGGTGTTGTCTGGAACAGAATGGGACTTGACCACCTGTCACAGTGTCTCCCAGAACCAAAGTGGATGACAGATGGGCAAACTCTCCCCAGCATAGCAGTGCCATCCCCAGTAAAAGCAGGATGAGACTGTGTGCGAGGGCTGGGGAGGGGCAGGCATGAAGTGGGGATTGGAACAGTCAAGATTCCAGAGCCCAAGGAGAAATGTTACCGTTGCCTTGTCTGAATTTTGCCTAAGCAAAGTGATGTGGAACGCTGAGCAGAAACTTCCAGAGCAAGAGCTTAGAAACCCTGACTTCAGGCCGGGCTCAGTGGTCCACACTTGTAATCCTAGAACTTTGAGAGGCTGAGGTGAGAGGATCACTTGTGCCCAGGAGTTTGAGACCAGCCTGGCCAACATAGTGAAACCTGTACAAAAAACTACCAAAATAAACCAGATATAGTGACGCATACTTGTGGTCCCAGCTACTTGAGAAGCTGAGGTGGATCACTTGAGCTCCAGAGATTGAGGCTCTAGTGAGCTGAGATGGTGCCACTGCACTCCAACCTGAGCATCACAGCGAGATCCTGCCACTAAGAAAAAAAAAAGAATCCCTGACTTCAGTTCTCATACAGCCTCTCCTTTAAGTGGAGACTTAAAATGTCTTGTTCCCGTGAGAGCATCATAGCAAATACATGTTTCCACAGTCACTACCAAAAATATGTGGTGGTCAGGCTCACTTCCTCTCCCTAACAGATGCACACACACAGACAGCGCCCTCCCCCGCCACAACACACACACACACACACACACACACACACACGAGGACTTTGGCATCTTCCCATCCAATAGTGTTTCATCTTAACTCAGGCTGAGCCATGAAACAGAGGGAAAGCCAAAAGCAGGGAAGGTGGCCTTGGTTCTGTTTAGACCGTCTCAGGATCAGGATCGGCTTGCAAGCTACTCTGGTTTGCAGAGACTCCCCAGAAGCCCGCTGCGAAGTAACCTTGTGGGCTGCAGTTGCCATTGAGCACGGTGGGAGACAGCCCAGCGCGGAGGGGGTAGGGCCTATGCGCTACCTCTCCACATTTCTGCCCTTGACCTCTCTCCTTCTGTCTGTTCATCAGAGACGGCCACAGAAGCCCAGCCCGGGACCCCAGGACGACCCTTGCCTGCAGAGACAGCCTCCAGAATGGGCACACTAGTGATTCCTCCAGCGGAGAGTCCAGCGGCGGGCCGGGGCCAAGGCCGAGGCGGGGCCCCTCACCGTCGCACGTGCGTTTTGAGGATGAGTCTGCCCGTGAAGCCGAGTGCCGCTACCTGGAGCGGCTGCAGCAACGCCAGCGCCAGGTGCTGAGCACTGTGCTGCAGGCGGTGGACCAGGGCCCCCTGCGCTCCAAGCCTGACCTCGCCGACTACATCAACGGGCCCCCCCGGCTCCGGGATGCGGGGCAGGGGGCATTCCACCGGCTTGTGGGCAGCCTGGACCGCAGGGGCCCCTTGGTGGCTCCCACACTGGGCAGCGAGAGGAGGTGCCAGGCCTGTGGCAGCTGCATCAACAACTTGTGGCCCACCCAAGGGAAGGCGGCCCCTGACCCCAGGGCCCTCCAGGAGCCCCAGGCTCCCCGTGGGATGGAGGGGTTACTGGGAGGCCTGAGCTCCCCACTCCGGCTCCTTCCTGCAGAGCCCGGGCTCCACACAGAATGGATCCGGGAAACACACATCGGAGACACTGTGTGCCCTGCAGAGGTGCACTCTGCCCTGGACAGCACAGACACCTTGGACAGCTGCAGGACTGACAGTGAAGAGGCAGGGATCTCTCAGGCCAGCCAGGCCTGTGAGCAGACCCGAGGTAGCAGCCCAAGACTGAGACTGCAGGGCTCCAGGCCTCAAGGCCACAGGTGGCCCAAGAAGGCTGACACGGAGCTGCCTTGGGGCCTCCAAGCCCGGCAACACCTGCCTGGGGCTGATGATGTGGAGTTGGGAAATGAGGTGAAGGAGGACAGAGGACACACGGCTGGGGGGACTCTATTTTTGAGAGAAGATGCTGTCCCTAAGCCTCCCGGCCTGGAGTTGAAGCGGGTATCCCTGGGACCCCAGTGGCAGCCTGGACCAGGGCTGGGAAGTCACCAGTCTCACTCTTTGGATTCTCGGACTCCATGCAGGACAGCCTATGCCACCACCTCCCCCAGGGCGCCTGAATCATTGGGGCCAGGAGGCCAGGCCCAGGTTATAGAAAGCCATGAGTCCCTGGAGATTGTCTCTCCTTCCTCCCTGCAACAGGGCCCTGCAGAGCCTTCTGCCCCGAACCAAGCCCAGCAGCCAACAGCTTCCTTTTGCCCTGAAGGCTGGACGCCAACCCCTCCCCCTTCACGGAAAACCACCTCTCCCACATCTCACAGGAAGGCAGCCCTGGCTGGACAGCGCAGGCCAAGTGACCAGGGAGAGCCTGTGGGTATCCCCCGGCCTCCTTCAAGAAGTGCGGTTCTCAGGACCTGTGAGCTGTCCCCATCACAGACCCAGCCCAGCTGCCCTCAGGTCAGGCACTCACTGCTGGCCCTGTCCACCAACAACTGCAACAACAGCGCACCTCGGGGGCTGCAGGAGCCCTGTAGGGGAGCCGTCCACGAGGGTAGGGTGGAGAGGGGCCCCCGCAGCCGGGAGCCGGAGCCGCCCCTGGAGAACAGCAGAGATGGTAAGGGGCTGCCGCTGGTTCCTGCCCAGCACAGGCCTGGTGTGGTTCTAGAGCAGAGGCCCGGACCCACCTGTGACACCCAGGCCTTCAGAGTCATCCCCTTCTATCTCAATAGTCAGATGGCAGTGTCACACACTATCCCGGCAGCCCCTTGCAGCCACTCTGAGGTGTCAGGGTGCTGGTGGTGGCTGGATGGAGAATTCACCACCAGCCTGGAGGCAGATAAGCAACTCCCTCCTGGGAGAGGCCGAACCATGGGGAAGGCAGTGGAGACTTCCTCTTCCTGCTGGGAACCCCGAGGTGTGGGCAGAAGCTCCAAGCTCCATGGCTGTTGGAGGCCTGGGCTTTAAGGGATTTATTCCCAACAGAGCAGGAAGAGGCAGCAGCTCCAGGATTTACTATCTGCTTAGAGCAGTAGGTGCCCACTAATGACATGGCAGAGGCCCTGCCCCTTCAGCATCATTGTTTCATTTCATTCATTCACTCATTCATTCCGTCAGTATTGGCTGAGCACCTGTTATGTGCCAGGCACTGTACTAGGCACTGTGGGGAATGCATATGTGAATACATCAGCAGGAGTCCTGCCCTTGAGGCATTCTGTGGCCAGGCAGACACACTGTCCAGAGGACCTGGTGACCAGGGAAACAGGGCTCCTAGGCGGTGTGCTCTCTGGTACCAGACCCTCCGTGACCCCTGGGCCTGTTGGCAAGACTGCCGAAGGGTATGGGTCTCACCACTTTGCCTTGGCAGGGGTCCTCACGCTGTGGGAGAATCCCATAGCTTGGCAGCTCAGGCCTTATCCTCAGTGTTGTGATCCCAGGTGACCAACTCTGCCGCTCACCCATTTGTTGTGATCCCAGGTGACCAACTCTGCCGCTCACTTTTAGGCAGAGATAACAGGCACACTCCACACATTTTTGCTTTAATATGCCCATGGCTCTGACAGGCCTGGGGCTTGGATAGCTCAAGAGGGATCCAGGGCTTGGCAACAGAGTGGAGGGAGAGAGGGCAGAGAGATGACAGACATTATTGAAGATGTGGATGCAAAGTCCCCTCCACTGCACAGGAATACACAGACTCCGTTCCTCTCCTTCCCTTGCTTACACAAACTGGCCTGTTTCTGGGCTCCCTTCCTCCCTGTGCTGAGTGGCAGGTTCCTTCTCTGGTGGGCTCTAGGCAGGCCATGGGCTTGCCCCAACCACTTCCTGCAGGGCTTCCTTTCTGAGACCTGCTGACCTCTCTGGGCAGTCTGGGCCTTCACCTCGGAGCTTGGAGCAGAGTGAGTGAGGCCCTGGGTGAGTCCCTCAATCCCTCAGCCTGCCAGCTTCCTCCTCGGTAAAGTGAGGACAATGATGGAGCCATCTCCTGGGATCCTGTGAGCTCACCTCCGGAGAGGATTCCATTCTGTGCCTAGCACATAAAAGATCTCCAGAAACGATGGCTACTTGAAAACTCCTAGAAATCATAACTGACAAGATTGTGGGGTTTGTCCCAGGAATAAAAAAATTTTCCCTGTTCCCACTATGTCCCTTGATATGGAAGGGCCATAGCTTATCACAGTCAACCTTGCATTTAACACACGGTGACTATTTACTGTGGACCAGTAAATGGACTATTTCCTGCGCTGGATGATGAGGTTACAGCAGTCAACAAGACTCAGTCCCTGTCCTCAAATAGTTTCCAGCCTAGAGGACACTCATGAGGGGTCCTCAGCCCTGGTCATCTAAGAGGCCACCCCACCTTCCCTCACTGCTTCCCGGGTCTCTCCACTGCTCTCATGGGACTCTGCCTCTCCAGCTCCTCACACCCTCCCCGTCGTTGGAAATGTCCCTTTCCCCCATAGGACCTGTGGAAAGAGCCAACCTGACTCAGGTGGGATGCTGTGCTTATTTCAGGAGGCTCCCAGGGCTTTCCCAGCTCAGCAGATGTTGACACCATCAACTCCACGGGCATCACCCTCTCCCTGTTCTCAGAGGACCCAGAGTTCAGCCAGGAATCAGAGGGAAGCCTGCAGAGGACAGAGTCGGGATCTGGAAGACATGTGCTGTCGAAGTGAGTGACAGGAGAAAGAGCCCAGACTGCAGAAGGGGGTGGGAATGGGGGCTCTGGGAGGGGCAGAGAGCCCCAGAAGTGGTGGCATGACCCACCGCACTGCTTCTAGTCCTCAGAGGATCCCTAGACTATGAGCAAGCCTGGCAGCCCTACCACTCCTCTCCCAAAGCCATTTAGATGGATGCACCTGATCATTCATTCATGGACCATCCATTGAATGGCCTCTAGCTGCAGATGCTGTGCCAGCTCCTGGGGCAAAGCTAGCAAGGCCCTAACCCTGGGGGAGCCCCCAGGATGGGGTTACCTGTCTGAGAGGCTTGCTTCTGTTCTGTGCTCGGAATTAACCAGATGTTGAGGAAACAGAGCCCAGCAGTCACATTTCCCTTTTCTCCTTCAACTGGTGGGGGAGTGGGGTCTGAGTCCTGGCCCTGGGGACCTCCTTGGCTTGCCTCAAAACCTTGGTGAGCCCGGAGCTCTGGCCAGGGCCTTCTCTTCCCTGTGGCACACTATGCCTGGTGGCCACAGGCAGCTCCAGGCCTGAAGAGGCACCCGGAGCCATCTCTCCATCTCCAGCCCCATCTGCTCTCTAGAACTCCAGAGCTGCACACCCAGTTTCTTCTGGACATCTCCACTAGGGGGTCTGATAGGCTCCTCAAATCAAAAGCTCAACAACTGCCTCCCCCATGGCCTCTTCCCGGCAAACATCACCGGGATGTCTGTCCGCACAGTGCTCAAGCCCACATCCGGGGGTCTGGGGCTGCTCCCTCTTCCTTCTCTCCCACTGTAGCCCTCTGCAAGTCCTTGCCAGCTCCGGAATCCCGTCTACCACCACTTCTCTTGGCCTGGACTTGTGGCCTCTTTGCTGTACAACTCCAGTAGCCCCTGCCTGCTCTCCGCCTTCACACTTGCCCACACAAGAGTCAAGAGTCGCTCTTTAAAACCTTGGTTAAATGGTGTCATTCTACTGAAAACCCTGCAATGGTTTTTCCCTGCATTTGGAATAGACTTCACATGCTGGCTGTGGCTGGCCTTGCTCTGTGGAATCCGCCTCATCTGCCTGTCTGACCTCATCTCGTCCCGTCTCTTCCCCCTTTCTCATCCCGTCTCTTCCCCCTTTCTCGTCACGCACGCCCAAGCCTCATGGCCTGGCCCCTTCCGGTTCTGAAACACGCAGAGCTCTTCCTGCCCAGGGCTGCAGCACCAGCTGTTCCCTGCACCGGGATTACTCACCTGCAGCCGTGGCAGCCCTGGCTCCTTGTCACTCAGCTCTCAGTTTAAAGCTCCTCTTCTCAGAGAGACCTTTCCCACCACTCCATTTTAAAGAAACACCTGGTCAGCCTCTGCTTCACCTACATGGGACACGTCTCCTTTGTCTTCCTGGTCTGCTGTTCATAAGCTCCTGAGAGTAAGCACCTTGCGTGTCTTACATACACACACCCAAGGGCCTAGAAAAGGCTGCCATATACTAGGCCATCAAGAAATACTGAATGAATGGGCTGGGCATGGTGGCTCATACCTGTAATCCCAGCACTTTGGGAGGACAATGTGGGTGGATCACTCAAGGTCAGGAGTTTGAGACCAGCTTTGCCAACCTGGTGAAACCCCATCTCTATTAAAAATACAAAAATTATCTGGGCATGGTGGCGTGCACCTGTAATCCCAGCTACTTGGGAGGCTGAGGTAGGAGAATAGCTTGAGCCTGGAGGTCAAGGCTGCAGTGAGCTGTGATTACACCACTGCACTCAGCCTGGGCAACAGAGTGAGACTCTGTCTCAAAAAAGAAAAAAAATTGAATGAATGATTGTGTGGGCACTTAGAGGAGTGCTATGGGAGGGTGCTTGCCTGCGCTATTCTCACCAAAAGCTACCCAAGCAGAGCATCTGGCAGAAGTCCACTCGGCCTTTTTTTTTTTTTTTTTTTTTTTTGAGCTAGGGGCTCACTCTGTTGCTCAGGCTGAGTGCAGTGGTGTAATCACAGCTCACTGCAGCCTTAACCTCCAGGCTCAAGCGATCCTCCTGCCTCCGTCTCTCGAGTAGCTGGAGCCACCACACCAGGCTTCTACTTGGCCTTTCTTTCTTCAGCCTGGTTGTCAGTTCCTGGCGCCAAATGTATCAGAGGCATTGGTGCTGGCCCATCTGTGGCCCTAGAGATGGCCCCAGGGCACAGCCGGCCCTCGCCTCCCTCCCGGCCCTCCCCTGCTCCTCACATCCACCCTTGTGTTTCAGGGCATCAGCAGGAGCTGGCACAGGACCTGGCTGCCCCTCGGCTGCCCCTTCGGACCAGAACAAGAAAAGGAGCAGCAGCATCGCCTCCACCTTGGGGCTGAAAAAGCTCTTCTCAGCCCTGAGCCAGAGTTCCCGGCCCAAGTTGGGCAAGTCCCGCAGCTACAGCGTGGAGCAGCTGCAGCCCGCTGTGCCCCGCCTGGTGTCACACTCCAGGGCCCCATCGTTACAATCCCTGCACCCGGTGAGTCGAGGGGCCCCAGCCCAGGGAGTGAAGCCAGAGGCAGTGCAGCCACCATCAGAGTGAAAGGTTTCCATGGAAGGAGGGAGGAGGTGCTGAGGATGCCTCCCAAGGAGCCCATGGTACAGAGAGGGAAGCTGCTGGCATCCCCACGGTTGACTTATGAGACTTGGGTTCCTCTGGACACAGGGTGGATGGGCAGCATCTCACACTGCTGTTCCTTGCCGCCTGGGCTCACTCTAAACTCCACCCTCTCCCTCAGTTTTGCCACCTCAGCCAAGTCCCAGAGAGTTGACAGCCTGGTGGTCCTGGAACCTTCTCCATGGCCGGAGTGACTCTGAGCCCAGGCACAGATCACTTCCCACGTGGATTCCATCAACAGCCCCTTGACTGGCCTCCCTGCCATGGTCCTGCATGTGGTTTCTGGAGTGGTCCTTCTGATATGCAAATCTGGCCATGCCACCCTGTGCTGAACATCTGTCATTGGTTCCTTATCACATTCAAGATAAAGTGCAGGCCACTCAGCATGGCCAGAGGGTTTCTGGGATCTGTCTGCTTTCATCCCTCGTCATTCACAAGCTTGACCGCGGTTACAGCTGACCATCTTACAGTTCTGTCAGCAGATCACTCACTGTCTGACTTTGAACTGTCAGCTGGGCTCTTTCTCCCACCTTCCCCACCTGGGAACACCTGCTCCTCCTATCCCTACCTTCCCTACCGCAGGTATGCGCCCCTCAGGGAGCCGCTTCCAACCCTGCCTCAGGCCAAACCAGGCCTCCCTCCTTTGTGGAACTTGAGGCATCATGTTTAGTTGAGTTTTGTCTCTCAACCCTCACTGGAGTGTGGGTTACTGGAGGGAACGCTGCAGTGAGTGGGTAGGAAGTGCAGGGCAGCAGGCTCAGGCCCTCCCTCCCAGCGCACTGGACACCCCTTCTGTTCCAGGGAGTTCCAGCTAGTCTGTTTCTCCTAATTCTCTGCCCTGCTCCCCTGGGCAGAGTGAAGCAGATGAGAGTGGTTTGGATAGCTGGCGCCTTTCATTTCCAAGGCTGCAGGCGGGAAGAGGATGTGGACTGAATGAAGATCCCATTGACTGTCTTCCACCAAAGACAGTTTGAGGCACGTGGCCAGTGCTCAACAAATATTTGCGGGTTGAATGAATAGAAGGCAAAGAAACAGCGGCAGAGATTGAAGCTGGGGGGAATCAGCAGTGGTGACTTGTGCTCCAGGAAGTCACTCTTCTCATGAAGTTAGATTTGTCCAAAACGTATCTGAGCTGTGGCGTCCAGATTTATTGTCATCAGGACTTCTATCTCTGTAAAGCCCCCAAGGGAAACACCACCCCTGTCGATGTCATAGAGAGCCTGGAACCTTCTCCATGGCCCGAGTGACTCTGAACCCAGGCACGGATCGCTTCCCACATGGATTCCCTCAACAGCCCCTTGATAGGCAATCTGAGCTGAGTGGACAGAGCTAGGAAATAGACTGGGGAAGAAGGAGTAGGAGGCAGAGCAGGGAGGATGAGCAGCAGAGAGACATTTTCAAAAATTGAAAAAAGACAGAAATTTTCAAGAAAATAAAAAAGAAGATAAAGGAAGGATCTGTCTCCCCCCGCAGTATTTGTGATATTCTTCAGGTTAAAATACTTGCTGCTGGCCAGTGATGCTGCCAAGAGTGTGTTTGCTGGTAGGCTTAGTTTTTTTGTTTTGTTTGTTAAGAACAGGCTGGAGTGCAGTGGTGCAATCTCTGCTCACTGCAACCTTGATCTCCCAGGTTCGAGCAATTTTTTTTTTTTTTTTTTTTGAGACGGAGTTTCGCTCTTGTTACCCAGGCTGGAATGCAATGGCACGATCTCGGCTCACCGCAACCTCCGCCTCCTTGGTTCAGGCAATTCTCCTGCCTCAGCTTCCTGAGTAGCTGGGATTACAGGCACGCACCACCGTGCCCAGCTAATTTTTTGTATTTTTAGTAGAGAAGGGGTTTCACCATGTTGGCTGGGCTGGTCTCAAACTCCTGACCTCAGGTGATTGGCCTGCCTTGGCCTCCCAAAGTGCTGGGATTACAGGCTGCCAGCTGCATATATACCACGTTTTCTTTATCCACTTGTTGGCTGATGGGCACTTAGGTTGGTTCCATATCTTTGCAATTGCAAATTGTGCTGCTATATACATGTGCACACACCCTGCAGCACAATTTGTAATTGTAAAGATATGGAACCAAACTTTTTCTTTATAATCACTTCTTTTCCTTTGGTAGATATCAGTAGTGGGACTGTAGGATTGAATGGTAGATTTTTTTTTTTTTTTAGACATGGCTTGTTCTGTCACCGGGCTGGAGTGCAGCAGGCAATCTCGGCTCACTGCAACCTCCGCCTCTTGGGTTCCAGTGATTCTCCTGCTTCAGCCTCCTGAGTAGCTGGGATTATAGGCACCAGCCACCACACCTGGCTAATTTTTTGCATTTTTGGTAGAGATGGGGTTTCTCCATGTTGGCTGGGCTGGTCTCAAACTCCTGACATCAGGTGATCCACCTGCCTTGGTCTCCCAAAGTGCTGGGATTACAGGTGTGAAACACCGTTCCCAGCCGGAGGTTTGCTTTTATTTTGCCCTGCCATGACTCCTGCCCACCCTGGCTGCTCCCATGTTCTCTAGCAGGCTGGGGCCCTTCCCCGTGAGCCTTTGAGCCTGCATCTAGAAGGCTCTCCTTCCTTCTCCTTATCCCCCTTCTCCCAGGAAGCCTTCTTGAACTCAGGTACGAGGTCAGGCCCCCTCTGAAGCTTCCTGATTCCATACCTGCCTTTTTTAGAGCACTCCTTAGTCTATTCAGGCTGATATAACAAAATCCCCGAAGCTGTTAGCTTTCAGAAAACAGATTTATTTCTCACAATTCTCTGGTGGCTGGAAGTCCAAGATCAAGACTCTGGCAGATTTGGTGTCTGGTGAGGCCCAGCTTCTTCATAGGTGGCTTTCTTTTCACTGTAACCTCATGTAGTGAGGGCAGTAATCCCATTCCTGAGCACTCTGCCCACATGACCTCATCACCCTCAAAAGCCCCACCCTTGGTGATTAGGTTTCAACCTGTGACTCTGGAGGGATACAGACATTCAGACCACAGTAGCAAGGATTCCAAATGTAACCAATAATGTGGGTGATATTTGTTTCAAAGACTGCTTTTCCCTGCCTCAGCCTCCCTGACCCCTTCATTTCTCAGACTGCAGGAGGGAAGAGGATGTAGGCTGAATGGAAGCCCCACTGATTGTCTCCCCGACCTTCAGAATTGCTTCCTGATCGGGTCATTTTCTAGAACACAGTTCTGATCTCGTCACTTGTATTAGCATCACTCAGTAGCTCCTTACAGGGCACATCAGGACCTTCCAGGTCTGGTCCCAGGCTCTAGGCCACGACTTGTACGGCCTGCCACTCAGACCATGCATATGCTCCAGAATGACCGTGCTTTCTCACATCTCTCCATGCCTTGGACAAACCATTTTCCTCTGCTGGGTACAATCTTACCTCTCTCGTGTGGTGAGCTCTTGCTTCAAGTGTCAGCGCCTTCAGTGTCCCTCTCCACCACACTACACATCATCTGTCTCTCTCTTTTTTTTTTTGAGATGAGTCTGGCTCTGTCAATCAGGCTGGAGTGCAGTGATGCGATCTCAGCTCACTGCAACCTCTGCCGTCCAGGCTCAAGTCATTCTCCTGCCTCAGCTTCCCAAGTAACTGGGATTACAGTCGCCCGCCACCACGCCTGGCTAATTTTTGTAATTTTAGTAGAGATGGAGTTTCACCATGTTGGTCAGGCTGGTCTTGAACTCCTGATCTCAGGTGATCCAACCGCCTCAGCCCCCCAGAGTGCTGGGATTACAGGTGTAAGCCACTGTGCCTGGCACACACTATCTCCTTTTAATGTGCACTGGAGCCTTTTAATTTACCTGTGCTCAGCCCTGCCCCCATCACTTTGCGAACGCCTTGAAGGATCTCTTGTCTATCTTTTTATCCACAATATTTTAAGGTACAAAATTCAATTTACCTTTTTGAATGAAAGTAATCATAAAACACATAATAAAGAATCACAAAACAATATTTTGCATGTTAACTCTAAAGTGGTATTACTCTATAACAAACTTACTTTCATTTCTTCCTTAATGAGCACATTCGATTTTCTTAACTGATGAGGTGATTAGTATAGCACTACAGTTATTATTTCAGCGAGAAAACAAAACCAAAAATCCCTTGACTCCCCAGATGGCCTATGTAGACCCATCTCCTTGAGTAAAGTCATGGTGGCTCCCGTGGAATTCCTGGAAGCAATGATAAAAGCTTGTGCTGTCACTTTCTTCCAGGGCCCTCAGGTTCATGGTGGGGGCCACGTCCTCTGTCAGCGCCACCCTGGTGGCTTTTCTCACCTGCAATATTGGCCCTTTCCCATCAGGTGTCACCCCATCACCAGCGTCGGAAAGCTGCCTCTTTCCAGAACCTCCATTCTCTGCTGAGCGGCAAGGGGGACCGGTCCAGCCTCTACCTGGTAGCGGGGCCAGGGGACCACAGTGCAGCTGGCAGGTGAGAGTGGGCACACACGGTTTGGAGGACAAATTCATTAGAGAGTGGCCAGTGGAGCCAAAAGCTTAACTCCTCCGTGCCTCAGTGTCATGGCTCTGAGCAGGGTCCCTTGAGAAAGCAAGGCCTCCCTCCAGCACATCTGATGTGTGGAGACAAGGCTGCCACCAGTCTCAGCACCTCAGTGCCCTGCACCGACCCTCAGTGCACTGGGCTCTGAGAAGACCTGGAGTTGTGGATCAGGTAGAGTTGGCTGGTCTGTTTCCACTGTCCTCTAATGTCCAACAACATCTTGAAATCAGAATGTTTAGAGCATGTTCTTAGCCCAGCTGAAGATCCAAATAAACACGTAGAGACAGAGACCCCCAGAGAGGCCCATGACCCGTGACCTGCTTGGATAAAGCCTACCCTGTCTGGTGAGGGCTGTTCTTGCCTATGGCTTCATGGATGCTCTGTAGGGTGTATGTCAGCTCCTGGAAATGTGACATAAAATTATGCCTTTTCTCAGATTCGTACAGAGGTCTCTATTCCCCCAAATTTGAAACCACTGCTTTGGGAGGGTGGGCTTTCTAGTTCCAAGTAGGCCTTGCACAGCGGTGGAAACCCACCAGTTCTGGCCCTAGCAGGCTCTTTTTGCTGGCTGAGGTCAGCGGAACCCCAGCCTCCTATGCCAGACTCTTAATTAAGTCTGTGAGGTATTGGTCATCTGTAAGCCAGGGAGGAGCTGCACCCAGTGCCCCATGCTTTTTGCCCTCACTGTGTCTCTGGTTCCCTCACAGGCTGGCCAGGGCTTCACCACGGCGTGCTCTCAGTGTGGAGGATGTGGGAGCTCCCAGCCTGGTTCGCACGGTGGGCCGCCTGGTGGAGGTGTTCCCAGACGGCACCAGCCAGCTACAGCTGCAGCGCTCCCCGGGGGGCACTTTCGGCTTCTGCGTGGCGTCTGGGAATGGGCGCCCGGATTCAGGTATGCCCTCTCCCCTTCCTCAGTCCCATGACCGGGGCGGCCTTAGCGAACCCCAGCAGGGCCTTCTGGCTATGGTCAGAGGCTTTTCTGGTCCTTGGCTGAGCTGGGGAGCTCTGGGAAATCACAAAGCCTCCGACCACAAGACTAGACTTCTCCCCTCAGGGGCTCTTCCTGAATTGTCTGGGGCTGCCCAGGAGTCTGCACCTGCAGAGCCTTTTGCCCTGGGCAACTGCCGCTGAGGAAGAAGCTGCGGTTCATGGGGAATGTGCAGGACAAGGGAGTGTTGGCAGGTTTGACTCCACTGTCCCCCTGCTGTCTGATGACATCTTGAAATTAGAATCTTAGGCCGCGAGAGGTGGCCCATGCCTGTAATCCCAGCACTTTGGGAGGCCAAGGCGGGCAGATCACCTGAGGTCAGGAGTTTGAGACCATCCTGGCCAACACGGTGAAACCCTGTCTCTACTAAAAATACAAAATTAGCCAGGCATGGCGGTGCATGCCTGTAATCCCAGCTACTCTGGAGGCTGAGGCAGGAGAATCACTTGAATCCAGGAGATGGAGGTTGCAGTGAGCCTAGATCACACCATTGCACTCCAGCCTGGGCAACGAGAGCAAAACACTGTCGCAAACAAAAAAGAAAAGGAAGGAAGGAAGGAAGGGAGGGAGGGAGGGAGGGAGGGAAAGAAAGAAATTAGAATCTTGAAGGCTATCTTTGCAGAGAAGAGCCAGAGAGAAACTGTCTGTGCCTGCTATTCTCAGCAGTCCCTTTGATGTGGCTGCTGTGTTGAAATGATTCCTTTCCTCCGGCTGCAGAGCATGTCTGGGCACATACTGCCTGTCTGTCTCTGCACACCATTCCTCCCTAAGGCCTGTGCCCGAGGATTCTGTTCAGATGAATCCTGGCTGCAGGCCTCTGGCTGGGTGTGCTCTGGGTCTCACTAAACCCAGGCAAGGGCAGGGAGGAATCCTGGAGATCATTCTGCACTCTGGCCAGTTCTCGGTTCCACCCCATCCATGAGTCCTTCAGGGCAATGTGACGTGCCAAGGCCCACACTCAAGGTCTGTGGTCCAGAATGCATTTCAGGGCAAGGGTCCATGAAAGACTCCCCAGAGGAGCAGGGAAGGAAGACAAGTATGCAGGGGTGGGGAAGAAGGGGAGGGGAAGGAAGGAGAGAGAAAGGGAGAGACAGATGCAGAAAGGCACGTGCAGAAGCCTGCTATAGCTGGGCTCTGCTGATGGGGTTGAGTCCCATGCTTTGATTTCCTAGGTCAATGTTGTTTAGCCTGGAAAAAAAATCTGCCTGCTGCCACATTTGCAGACTGCAGCATGAGTTCTCATGTCTGATCCATCATTCATTGTTTCAGCAAATATATGCACCTACTATGTGTTATACATACGGGGGATACAGCAGTAAATGCAACAGACCAAATCCCTGTCTTCATGAATATGCTACCCAGTGAGCAGCTAGATCATTTGTATAAAACGTGTACTCTTATGTGTAATGTGCTACGTATGTCAGATGGTGAAAATAAAGTTCTGAGAAACATACAGATAAAGCAGGTGTAGCAGATGCTGGTGCAGACAGGAGTGTGGGGAGGCTTTTCTGAAAAGATGATACTTGAGCAGGGGCATGGATGGGGCGAGGGAAGAGCCCCGTGGGGGTCTGGGGGAAGAGTATTCTGGCAGACGGAACAGCAAGTACGAAGCCCTGGTGGAGGGGTGGCTTGGCCTGTGAGGACTGCAAGGAGGTCAGGCTGGAAAGCGCAGAGAGGGCGAGGGGTCGGGAGGAGCAGAGCTTGGAAAGACAAGGCTGTGCCACTATAAGGGGCTTTGGCTTTCTGCCAAGTGAAATGGGAGCCACTGGAGGCTTGGAGCGGAGCACTGAGACTCTCTGATGTACACTTTTGGCAGGGTGAGAATATACCCCAGTGGGACACAGGTGGAGCCAGGGAGCCCCATGTTAAAGCTATTTCAGCAGTCCAGGAAAGAGATGGTGGTGCTTGAGCTGGGACTGGCTGTGGAGATGGCTGGGGAGAAAGGTGAGGAGCTGGATTCTGGTTGATCTGACTATTTGCTGATGAGCTTGGAAATGCATGTGAGGGGAAGAGATGACAGATCTCTCCCCACTCTGGAGCTCAGGAAGGTAAAACGTCTGTCCTCACAGGCCTTCCCATAGCCTCCTCTCCTGTTAGGCGAGCAGGACAGGCCCCCTGGACAGGTGGCGTAGAGGCAGAGGTGGACAACACAGCATGTTTGTGCTACAGCACCTCTGCTGGCTGTGTGACCTTGAGCAGGTGATATCCCTGCTGAGCCTCAGTTCCCCAATCTGTGAAATGAGGATGACAAAACCTACCTAGAAGAGTCCTAAGGAGCATTCAATGAGGCACACAGGAGAAAGGGCCTAGCATTTTTCTCTCCTTCCCTTCAGAAAGAAAAAGTCTGTTTGAGGAAGAGAACCCCAGACAGGGACCAGGGTGATCCGCATTCACCTGATGTGAGTGCACAACAGGGCTTATACCCTGCCCCCAACTCACCCCAGAGTCCCTTTTGGCTCCCTTGTAGGCAGTGGGAGCCCCTCCCTGTCACCTGTCAGGGAGGTCTGATGGGCAGGGGTCTCTAGTGACCCAGGGCCCCTGGCCCCCTCACTGGATTGGTGCCAGCTTTCCCTGTCCTGCCCAGGCACTCCCTGCCCCTGCTGTTGTCGTATTAGCTTGCTGCCATTTGCATCCGACTCTATATGAGCCTGTGAGAACAGCAGGCTTGGCCTTCTGCTTCTAATTGGATACAACATAAAGATCACACATCCTCAACAAAGGCCATTTCCAGCAGACAATAAATGCCTACGACAGCAGGCTCTCTGTCATATTTGTGTCATGACTTTCAGTTGTGAAATCTACCCGAGTCTCCCCAAAATGGCAGAAGTGACGTCAGTACCTGGCCTGGCTCTGGCTGCCTTCTTTCAGGGTCTATCATTATTCCCCGCCTGCAACAACCGCTGCACATCAGACACTTCCCTGGGTTCACCCCAGGAGCCCCTTCTTACCTGCCCCTCCCCGTGCCACCAACCCGTAAACAGGGAGGGCAAGCAGTAAAAGCTCCAGCTAGAGGAGGTGAAAGACAGGGCTGAGGGAAAACGCACTGTGCAGCCAGGATGGCAGACGTACTGTCAGGGGAGACAGCCCAGCAGAAAAGGCTCAGCTTGGCCAAAAAGCAACAAAAGGGATTCCACACCTCAGCCCAGGGAGGGGGGATGTATACAAAGATTAGATTTGCTAAATTCAGAGCCACAGACCTTCAGGTACCTCAGTGAAGGAGGAGGTATCAGTGCTTTTGCAAACCTACATTTCAGAGGCAGACTTTAAAATGCCTGACTTTTGTCAGGTCCAGAGGCTGGGCTGCCCAAAGCTCCTGCAGGGCTGGGGGGACCTGAGAGATGGCTTCCCACTTGTCCAAGATGCGGCCAGCAGTGTCAAGCCAGAGACTGAGGTACAGACCTGCCGCCCTTTCGGGCCCCTGCTAAGAACCTGATTCGAGAAGGAAGTGGAGACAATAACGTGTAGGCAGTAGCCTCATATTTTTGAAATGCAGATTGAGCCAAGCTGGGCTGGGAACAGCGAGGGTGCTAAGGCTGCACTGAGCGGCCTGACGAATTCTGCCAGTGCCGGTGGCTGCACCAGGTGCATGCCTTGCAGTCCTCCAGCAAACTTGGCTTGTGTCTCAGCCTGTGTGTCCACCCGGCACAGAGCATGGGCATCAGGGGCTCCAGCCTGCGCTGGGAGAGCTGGCACCTCACTTTCTTTCCCAGGTGGGAGCAGCTGGAGCGGAATTTTAAAATGTTTCCAGCCGTGGTTGAGGCCAGGGGAGGCCTCCTCAGCTGGACACTTCCCAGAGAGGCCAGGGGAGCAAACCCAGCCAGCCCAAGCCCCCCAGGGCCTGGCGCACTGATGGGGTTCCCTGAGAGCTGGAGCCTGGGAAAGAAGCAGAGAAGCTGGTTCCCCAAGGCTGGCTCTTAGTGCCTCCTAGACCCAGGCAGGGCCTCTTTGGGTGGGCAGGAGGGGCATGTGCAGAAGAGGAGTGGTACTGCTTGGGCTGGGAATGGCTGTGGACATGGGAGAGGGGAGAGGGGTTGGATTCTGGTTGACTTGACTATTTGCTGATGAGCTGGACATGCATGTGAGGGGAAGAGAGGACAGGTCTCTCCCCACTCTGGAGTTCAGAAGGTAAAACGTCTGTCCTCACAGGCCTTCCCGTAGCCTCCCCTCCTGTTAGGCGAGCAGGACAGGCCCTCCTCAACAGGCAGTGTGGAGGCAGAGGCCTCCACTGGAGGTGGGGCCACCGGAGCTTTAAAATACATGGCTAGAATTTCTTGCTCAGATGCTTCCTCATCCCACCTGAGGAGCCATGTCTGAGTAAGACTGAGGCCAGGGTCAGTGCCTGCCAGCAGAGTGCAGCACACCAGGCGTGGATACAGCTCAGCCACTTTCGTTCTGATGATACCTTCCCGCCACCCCGGCCTTCACGCTGGGCCTGGGCGACCTGAGGGCAGCAACTGGATCACAGTGCCAGGCACCGAGTAGGTATGGTTCTTAATTCTTAAAAAGTATTTTCCTCCCTGTTCTATAAAAAAAGCTCATCGCAGAAAAAGATCAGCTCACTCACAGTCAGGTATAAATGAATAACAGCAGCTTAACACATTATTTGCACTAGGAGCATTTCCATGTTAAAGGCGGAGACAGCGGAATGGAGTTAGACATGGAGGAGGCGCAGTGTATCTGTGTCTAAAGCCAGTTGTGGTTGTGAGGTGGAACGATGGGTGTGTGTGTGTTCGCGCACAGAAGTACCCTGTATGAGCACCTCTTCCCTGTGCCATACAAACAGCCCCTCACTGACATGATCAGCATTCCAGAGATGCACATCTTCAATTTGGGTGTCAATGTGAAATTCTCCCGTTTTCCTTTGCAGGGATCTACGTGCAGGAGATGGCTGACATGAGCACGGCCAAGCTGTACTCGGGGCTGCTGGGGGTGGGCGACGAGATCCTGGAGGTGAACGGGGCCAAGGTGGCAGGGCTGGGATTGGCTCACATTAAGGAGCTGCTGGCCTGCTCAGAGAGCTTGTCAATCCGTGTCCTGAGGCAGAGACCTGTACCACGGTGACCCAGAAGTG